GGACGGGGGCGGACGAGGGCGGACGGGGCGGACAGATGCCGGACGGTGTGAAAATAGGTACATTCTATCAAAAAACGCACATGAGGTCCGGACGGGGGGGCGTCCGGACGGCAAAAAGACGCACCTTGGACGGGGAAAAGCCGTACCTTGGACGGGGGGTCTGGGACCCTGTTTTCAAAAAACGCACATGATCTACAAAAAACGCACATGAGGGTTTTACTAGGCCAGGCCCCACTAGCATACGGATCCTTACTCGGGGTTCGAGACTCTATATAATGGGATTACTTCGTTTCATAACTGCCTATACATTATGCTTGGGGATGTGTATGCATACCCTGTAACTTGAAAACCCTAGGACAGTCAGCCACTCACAGGCACATATGTGGGCACAACAGATCTCCAGCTGTCAGGAATGCGCAGCTGCTTTGACCCACGAATGTAAAAGATCACAAGCCGCATGTGTGCATCATCCCATGTGTCTCCCCAGGGCAGAGCTTTGTACATCTCTCGCAAATCAGTTTGCGTGTCCACCTGACCAGCGCAGCAAGAATCTTCATCCAATTAGAGAGCTGATCCATGAGCCACATGCACCCCAAAAGCAATGCAGCTGAGGATCTCCCGGGACCTGGTCTCGGCAATCATACCGGCAATTCTCCTGGATCTCGAGGCACTTCAGAGCAAATCTCATTGGATAGACCCTTAGCTTTTGAAAGAGTTGGGAATAGGGGGATTGCTTCAAGCACAAGGCACATGCGGCACATGGAAATGAATGCAGTTTTGGGGCTGGGTGCTTTTCAAAGCAGCTGACCCTTTGTATGTTGCTTTGCCATCTGCTTTGCGAACACCTTTGATGGTCGTCTTGACCTCTGATTTCAGCTCCTGCCTCGTCATCTTCCCGTGCCGCAGGGCTTGTATTTCCGGAGTATTGCTGAGCACCATGGTGGGTTTGGCCATAGGATGTCCAAAGAATTTCATATGGAACTTCTGGAGGAAGACCTTAGGGAAGCCCAAGCTTAAGTTAGCAGGTTGAATGCTATTACATCAAACATGAACTGAATGAAGCCAGCAAGGCACTCGCATCCCCAATTTGGAGAGGTGCTCAATCAACCACTGAAATCGAATGCTTTCAAAAAGCAGAGAGGAAGCCGGCTGCTCGATCAGCCATATCCCAGAGACAGCTTCTATCACCAATAACAATAGCGCCGTCCTGCAGCAGAAGACACACATGATTGGGAAACATGAGTTTAAGGGCACAGACACATGTCAGGCGTTTCGCAAACCCGGTCCGAGCTGCCATTCTGTTGGCGACGTTCACTGCTCTGTAACCCGTGTACCCTTGCGGGTTAATGAAAGACCTGTGACTCGATCCCCTTGAAATCGCGACCCAGCTGCTGCAGCAGACCCCTAACATACATAGGAGCTGACCAAACTTGCCTTCCAAGGCTACAGTAAGGGCTAACCTTAGTTGTTGCAAGCCATGCATTCCCCTGCAGATTCCCAACAGATGCGAGCCATTCAAATGGTCCAGCCAAGGAGCGCAAAGCCAGAAGCACTGGTGATGTCAAAGACTTGCGGGAAGCGATGGAAGGCCACATCCAAGGCAGCCGCTTGCAAGCCTGCTGCCCTCGCTGATCTTGCCACACGGGCCTTGCCCGCATAGTACTCAATCACATGATACCGGTCCTGAAGGGGATCTGGGGTCATCCATGACAGCAGCAGAACCGCCGTAATGAGAACCTTAGTTCACTCAATAAAGAGAATTCTGAGTTGGCAGCACGCGTGACACATTCGTAAATGATGACAAGAAACTTTGGGGCACTTCAGGGCAAACATGCGCCGAAGGATCATGTTTGTCTTTGGACAAACATCCATGATGATAGCTCCCGCTGGGATGAGGGCCACACAGCTGCTTGCAAGTCCCAAGGTTATGACATGTCAACAATGTGCTCCAGCAGTAACAATGCGACTCAGAACTTGCCAGGCATACCTCCATCGTTGCCACGGTCCGGAAGAAGGCCATGCCGAGCGAAGAAGCCCAGGCCAGGTCTCAAGGCCTTAGCAGCAGCAGAAAACGAGTGTAGAGAGCACACACAGAGTGTAGAGAGCACACGCATGTGGGGAAGCCAGAATGAAGCACAAGCATCTCATGAAGACAGGCCATTGGGATTTTTTGCCACATCGCACCCGGTCCCATCCAGGAGAGTAGCATAACTGCCAGTCTCAGCATCGCAGGTGGAACATGCCACACTAGAATCGCTAAGATTTTCAAAGCCTCATGTGAGGCGCACCGTGGCAAATGCCATGGGGCACACAAGTCAAAATCAAATTGCCTCTACACAAGCAAGGCTGTGGAATTTCAAGGCCTCAGACATCCCCGGCCCCCTCGTGAATGAGTCGCCTAAGGCTCTCCTTGCCTGTTGCGAAGGCAGCAACAACCTGGGGAGCCATGTAGTTGCCATCGTGCTCATCAAGCTTCTCGGCCTCAATTCATAGCACAAACCGTTCATAGACGAATGCTGCCGCGCATGCACAGTAGTAAATAGGCCCAGGAGCTACCGAATACATGACAGACAGCAGCTGCACCATTGTGGCACCGTTGACCGACAAGTAGAAGACCTGGCTGAACACATGTTCCTGACACAACTGCTGAGGGTGGAGCCCCGCCTGCTGCGTGGTGCCACGGAGCTTGAGGCCCACAGCTGTGCGACTCCAGTAAACATCCAGCATGCTTGTCTGGTACGTGTTGTTCACGGGCACTTTGTTGGGCACAGGCTTTCGGGATCCTTTGCCAGGGGCAGCTGCTGGGCGCTTCATCGCTCGGGATCGTCCTGAGCCCTTATCACACGCATCACCCTGAATCTGTGCTTCCTTTGCCTTTGCCTTAGCCTTGGCTTCGGGTTTCCCTGTTGCCTTTGCCTTAGCCTTGGCTTTGGGTTTCCCTGCTGCCTTTGCTTTAGCCTGGGCTCTGCACTTTGCCTTCTGGACACCTTTGGCTTTGCCCTTTCCCCGCTTCTCATCTTCTTCCCCCATGTCACTTTCATGGTTCTCCATGTCGTCATTCTCCACTTGCTTGCCACGGCCGCGACCGCGACCTCTGCCCCGGCCCCGCCCTTTTGGGGCTGCTTTGACCATGGCCTGCTGCTCCTCCCTGGTCAAGAAAGGAGGTGCCTCAGCAGGCATCTCATCCACCGCCTTCTCACCTGCAGCTCCTGCGTGGGCTTCGGCCGGCACCAACAGCATGGAGTGTGGCTGGTGCTCACCTGCCATCTCCGGGATACCAGACTCCTCCTGGGAAGGGATAGGCTCAGCCTCCTCACCAAGAAGACACTCCTTGGCATTCTTTCGCTGCACAACCTGAGGCTTCTCCTGCAAGCATAAAGCATTCCCAGAAAAAGTGCATAAATTTCATGACCGCAACAACTGCTTGCACTCATGTCCTGGGCAGGCAAAGATCCACGGGAGTGCTCCTTGACGGTGTCGGGGCGAACCTGGGCCAAAAAAAACATGAAGCATTCCATAGGCAGTGAAGGCATGCATGGTTTACATGTTGCATTGCTGAATTCTGGAAAGCAGCAATGGTATTCACTTGCTTCTGCTTCGCCCGCTTTTCTGCCAGTAGCCGCCTGAAGTACATGGCACATGGATTCAAAACATACATGCACACCAGACTTTCCAGATGGATTAACAATTATTAATTCAAGCCAGTTGCTCGATTTGTGCGATCTTGGCATCCAGGTCGGCTTCATCATGAGCCCCGCCGCTGGAACTAGAAGGCTGGGGCGGGGATAGGGGCTCAACAACCTGAGTTTCTGCCTGGGCAGGGTCGAGGATTGGATTCAAGGGAGGCCTCATTGATGTACCCAGATTAAGACACTCGTCATCATCCTCCAAATCAGGCGTTTCCAGGGATACACTCTCGCCGTCCAAGCCATCGTGCACCTGCGCCACATGTACACAACCACTCCCTATTATACAGCGTTCACACAGAAACATGCCAGCATGAGCATTCACTAGTGTACCTCGTCCCCGCTGTCCTCAACAATAGCCAGGCCACTATCTGGCTCCACAGGGTCGTCATTGACGTCCTCCTCGGATTCCTCCCCTTCAGCGGCCTGCTCGAACCAGGCATCAATGAAGACGTCAAAGAGGGCTTTAACATTGGGGTCCTGAGCAGAGCATTCAATATCGCAACATATTGCAACACAGGCTCCCCAAACAAAAAAGCGCAAGAAGAGCAACACCATTGCAGTCCAGGATGCACGGGGCTTGTGATTCATCTTAATGCGGCGGAGGCAATAACTGATCAGCTTCTTGCATCCCCAGCACTCGGCATGCATTTGCACTTTTGTTGGAGGATCTTCATCAATGCCAACAATTGCCCAGAAGCGCTTTACCTCAGCTCACATGGGGCTAGCATGGACAAGTGCAAGGTCATGGCCTTTTGAACATGCCAATGATCAACCCAAGAGACTGCTCTTTGAAGGGCATGTAGGGGAGGGGTTTTCAGCACCTTGTAGCTCTCGAAGTCGTAGTCCCTGACCCATTCCTTCGCCAGAACTGTCAAGACCGCACAGTTCAGGATCAAGGTTTTCCTTAGGTTGCTGGCGCCCAGATGATGTAGAAAATTTCATTGAACAGTCAAGCTACAAGCACAAGTAATATAAGCCAAGGTTCATGGATGCCACCCCTACCGTTTCAGGGCTGGCCCAAGAGATCAGCCTCCCAGTCTCCTTGGCACTCCTTCGCACCGAATGATCCTCCTCCCAAGCGTCGGCGAGGCCGCATAACCAAGTTGCCGCCATGATCCCTACAAGCCTTTAGCTTTCAAACTTGCAAACCCCAGCAAAGCTGAGCCCATATTTACAGGCATCGCACAGCTATAGGAGAAGTCAAGACCCCATGATTACACACGATCGCAAGAACCTGGCAGGTGCTGATAAGGGATCGGCCATCGTAAGCGATCGCCAAAGTCACCCGGCCTGCACAGAGTCAGGATCGTGCAGGCATGCTCATGGAGTGGGCAATATGTGCACAACTTGAGATGCTTGCATGGGAAAGCATTTTGCACAAACGAAGCGCTCCAGTTTTTCACTTTCAGGATTAGGCACACATCCTCTAGGAGTCATCGTGGCCGAAAGGGAGCTGTGAGTCCTCATTCTGCATCTCCTGGTTGTCTTGCTGAGGCACGGCTTTCTCATCCTTCGCCTCCAGAGCCGAGGAGCTCACCTTGGCAGACTTGAGGCTTCCATGGACCAAGCTTGGGGCATCATTGCATGGCATGAAGGGAGCAATCAATTTGTAAGCTGCTGACCGAAGTGGCCGAAGTGACCGAAGATGATCCGTAGTCATTTCCTGCTAGAATACACCACCCTCATTATATCCTGCATGTTTGAGACAGCCAACTTCTATTCCATCTGTCCTTCGTAAGCCTTGACAAGATGCCTCACCAGTCCCACGGAATCATAGTTCTCCATGAGAAGCAGCATATTTCCAGGATCTGGCTTCAGTGCCTGAGTGATGGGCAAAAGACAAAGAGCAATGCCATGCAGCTGCCAAAAAAATGGGTGATCATCCAAGGTTGTCAAGACACTGTGCCATAGAAGACCTTCAGGACTTCCTCCCAGAACTCCAAGGGCAAAGCCATCAGTCCTTAAGGGACTGACATCCTCTAAGAATGTTAGAATCTAGCATTTGTATCGCTGGGGCTACTTTATCCAAGAAGCCGCGCTCGCGCAGCTTGCTTTCAATCTCCGGGTTGGCTTCAAACAGCTTCTCCATAGCTTCCCAGAAAGCTTTAGCAAGGGGATCCGCTTCAGGAGACAGAATGGCTACATGACTTCAAGTTTCAGCATTTATCAGTGAAGCTCAAGCGTGTGCACACAGCCGGGAAGCAATGAAAGGCACGCTGGCCTTCAAGGATCCATCCATTCACCTGGGAATGTTCGTGGGATGTTAAGGTCAGGATTATTGAGAGCTTGCATTCCATAAGCTAAGTATCAGACCCCAGGAAGGACCTTCAGCTCCACTTTCTCCCTTCTGGGAGCCAAGAGCCGACCAAGAACACATTTGCAGTCAGCAAGAGAAGCCCCGAGTACAAGACCATGGTAATTGTAGAAATAGGTACATTTCTATAAAAACGCTCATGACACCCAAGAACACAGTTTTCTTGAAAGATATGGTTTTTTTAGGTACAAAGGCTACTCAAGGTAGGGTTTAGGATTTAGGTTTGGCATTCAAGGGTTCATCCACTTGCCTGATGCCTGCTGAGGATAGACAACCCGCTCCTGTGCAAAAGATGCAAAAGCGATCTGCATGCTAAGAGGTATGCACATCGAATACCTTCTTCATTGCGCTTCGGCGTGACTGCCAACAGTATAGGCTCCCGCCCTAGATCCTGAACCCCAGATCTTAAATCGTGGCAACTTTGGCAAGTCTAGCCTGTTGGTAATTCAGCCAACCCGCCCCTTTTGCAGATGAGGGGCACAACGGCGTAGCCGTTTTAACTTTTGGCTGGCACGAGAATTGGAATTTGCTTTTTGAAAAGGCATGGCAAACCACTCGAGGTGCCAAGTGGGCTTCTCGACTTTCACTGTCCCTTACTGTAACACGGCACAAACTCTTTTCTGCACAGAGGCTTGCCCGATGGACAGCTGGGACAGATTGTACAGATCCGTTTCACCTTGCTAGCCGGGCACGTGGCACTTGTAGCACTGGCTCCAACAGTTCGGGACCTAAAGAGCACCTCCAGTTCTGTTTGATGGACCTACATGTGGAATTGGGGGTACTGGAAAATAAAATGGAAGCTACTATACTGGAGAATCAAATCGAAAAGAAAATAGAAAATGAAATGGAAACTGGGATTATAGTGGGCTTGTGTTTGGTTTAGGGTTTAGGGTTATATTGGGGTTATATTGGGATAATGGAAAAGAAAATGGAAACTACTATATGTATATTATATAAGGGTTATATGGGATTATATGGGGTAATTGATGGACCTACATGTGGGCTCGGACCCCTAAGAACCTATCCCCGAACCGTGTTGCTGGCAACTGGTGTGTTTTGCTTCTTTCGGTCCCTAAGCAGAACAGTGGCTCAGACTCGAGAACCGGAGTTTTCTGCCCCTCGATCGCCAGAGAAGCAACCGATTCAAATCGGCGTGCGTGTTGCATTTTCTCTTCGGCACCTGCAGGGTTTAATCCAGGAGTTATGTAGCATTGCACTGGACTTCTTCTGGAGAATCTTGATCTTAGCAGAGGATTGGGGGAGGTGTGAGTGAAGAACAACAATCTCCTCAGGCTCCCAGTCAGCAGATGGTATAAACGACGTTTGAAAGGTCATTTGAGGTGGGAGAATGAACAGAGAAGAGAGAAAGGCAGTAAAGAGGTGTGACTCATACCATCCTTCCCCAAGGGTCCAAGTACCCAATAATTAGGTCCCTTTAAAGGGGGATATATAGGGGTATAGTCCAAGGTACCCAATAATAATGGGTTTAGGGTTTAGGGTTAAGGGTTTAGGGTTTAGGGTTGAGGGTCCAAGTACCCAATAATTAGGTACTTGGGTATTGGGTAATAGTAATTATAGTCAGGTTTTGGGGAAGTATATGATTGGTGGGTACTTGGACCTTAAACCCTAAACCCTACACCCTAAACCGCGGAATATTTGTTACCTTAAGCCTAAGCCATCCAGAACCCTCGGATCCACATCTTCAAGCTGAGCAAGCAACCCCTGGACCCTAAATCCCTAAACCCCTAAACCCCTAAAACCCTAAACCCCTAAACCCCTAAAACCCCTAAAACCCTAGAATCCTAAAGCCCTAGAACCCTAAAGCCCTAGAACCCTAAACCCCAAACCCTCTACAGCCCTAAGCCTAAACTCGAGCCAGGAAGTGTGCACCACTCAGTGCTGAGGAGGAGGACAGCAGCACTAGGCGTGGGGAACTATAAGCATTCCTCTACGCTTACTTCCTCAAATCATAGGTGCATGACGTTGTTTGCGGTGTAGCAGAGCGATTATCTCGAACCTCCTGGGGCACATATATATATATATATATTTTTTTACATATATATATATATACATATATATGTATAGGTATAGCCCTAGACCCTAAACCCTATACATACATATATATATATATGTCTCTCTTAGTAGAACTCAAGGGTCAACCTCTCTAGGGCCAGAACACGCAGCAACTGGGCATTGAGGTAGCGAGAAGGCCCTCTTGCAGCCTTAGCCTTGGTATCTAGGGTTTAGGGTAGTTTAAGGTTTAGGGTTTAGGGTCGTTTGGGGTTTAGGTTTTACGGTGCTTTAGGGTTTAGGGTTTAGGGTGGTTTAACTTAAATTAAGTTACCAGAAGGGGGGTGCAGTCTCCCTTAAGTAGATAGAATATGGCTTTGGGTATACTATACTAAGATATCCATGTACCCTGAGGGGGACTGTATCTAGTAAGTAGCACGGCTTCATAACTTTGGTAATTTGATTCAAGCCCATTGCAACAACCCTAAACCCTGAACCCTAAACCCCTAAACCCTAAACCCTTAAGCCCTAAACCCTTAAACCCCTAAACCCTCCCAAACAACCCCGCCATGCGCAACCAGGAGGCTGCTCAATGGCTCGCCGATCGCATCGGGGTAGACGCCATCAGCCTCCAAGAGGCCCATCGGCCTAGCACCTAGCAGCTTACTTTCGAATGAGGGAATGGAAAAGAAGCTGAAAACTATTGTATGATATAGGGCTATATAAAGGGATTAAAATAGGGATGATATAGGAGTATATGGGCATTCTATAGGGATGATATAGGTTTATATAGGGAGGGTATAGGGTTTTATAGGGATTATATATGGGGGATAGAGGGCCTACCATACGGATCCACCTGTCCCTGTTAATCGACAACATTTAGCAACCAATCGAGGGAGTTGCAGGCTTGACGTTTTGGGGTGTCATGGGTTCCTGGGGCTTTGGGCTTCCTAAAGCATTTTGACCATCAACTCCCAAACCCTATAGTCCCCCTTAAGCAGATAGAATATAGAGTATATGGGGATCTTATTATCATATACCCAAAGCCATATTCTATCTACTTAAGGGGGACTATAAGCCCTAAACCCTGCTTTTTGAATTTTCCGACCGATCCTTGTTGGAGGCCCATTGTTGATACCGCTCGGCCTTCGAT